ATATATATATATATATATATATATATATATATATATATAAAAGTCATGAATAGATACGGTTATACAAATATATGCCATCCAACAAAAATTTTATTTTGTTAGGTTTAATGCATTAACAACTTGTATCATGTGTATTAAGAGTTTATCTTTTAACATATGATACATTGGGATTAAAAACTACAAATTGATGTTTAAACTGATAATTTATATTATAATCTGTCTATAATTATTCTTTTTAAAAAACTAATGGTTAGTTATGAAAACTGAACTTCAGGAAATGAAATCTTAACGCATATGATTAATGTTTTAAAAACCGGTTTGACCAGGTCGGTCGAACCGATTGGACCGAGAATCGGGGAAGGGAACTGTTCAACTATTACTGCTTTTACATTGGTTTCTGAACCGGATTGAACCGGCCAATTTTTAGAAAAACTCGGTTGAACCGGTTAAACCGAATAAAAACACATGAAAAAAAATTATTTATATAATAAACTTTGGTATTTTTTTCAAATCTATTTAACTTTTTCTAAATAAAAACATATGGTAAATATTATAAAGTTTTTTGATGTGTTTGTATTAATGTAAAACTATATTTTGTTTCGGTATTATACTTTATTTTCTTTTTGACATATATGGATTGATGTAAAACACTAAAAACTTATGGGTTATGTGTTATTTTAATGTATTTGGATTCATATACAACTTATTTTTATGTGATTTTTTTATGCGTATTTAATGTTTGAACTTATAAACATCAAATTCATGATTTATATATGTATGTATGTGTAAGAAAATTGGAAAAAACATGAAAAATATAAAAACTAGTTGACCTGACGGTCGAACCGAAAAACGATCACCATACCGGTTCAAGTAAAAAACCGGTTTTTAAAACATTGCATATGATATAACTATTTTTTGGAAACGGCAAACGAATTAAGTAGAGCCTACTCGCAATATTTCAACGAGCACCCTGGGTTCGAGCTCCTTTACAGGGCAAACCCAACCCCCATAGGGATTTCCAGGAAAAAATTCCCCTCATGTGGCACCACAAAAGGTAGTTTAAGGGAATAGAACTCCCAACCTCACGCCCCACAATTATATGTTTGGTGTGATCAAGTGATTTTTATGGCAAATTGTCACAACCCATTTTACGCATAACCATCTATAGTCATGACTCCATGCTTTAAATAATAATGTTGTTAACTGTATGATGGATCCAAAAAAATCATATATAATATATTGATAGTTTAATTATTTCTTGTAAATGTAAAGTATCTACAACATTAGAGCTTATTTGTTAAAATTTTTGTCACAATACCAAAGACAACTTTTTCATCGACTTATTAATGAGACCACCAATTTTATTTATATAATTTTATGGCTTTTTATATACTTTTGCAATGATTTTATATAACATAAAGTACTAAAATATTTTTGATAGATGAAAATTCACAAGTTAGTCGTTAGGGCCATATAATGATTTTTCATATTTTTGACATATGTGTATTAGACAATATAAGTCATTCCTATCATTTGCGACATTTTAATAAATTTTATTATGTGAAAATTATCTATATGATATAATAATAATAATAATAATAATAATAATAATAAAACTAACATGTGAATGTGTGACTATGAGTTCCAGATTCCAGTTACTTATAATAAAAAAAATGAAAACAAATTGAAAAATGTGGAATAAAAGAATATGAAATAAACAAAAGCTAAATTTAGTCTATGGAAGGAAAAAGAAGTTATAATCCTCTCAAGTAAAAGCATCTACTTTTTATAGTAAAATCTAAACATTAACAATTTTAAAACTTTAAAACTTTAAATTGCTTCTTTAAGATTGTTATTGTTAAAAATCACACGATAAAAAATCTGTACATCTTTTTAAAGTAAAAAAACCATCCATATTTAATATTTTAAGATCAGCGTATTTATTTCCAAGTTTTAGAAGTACTATTTAAAAATCACACGATAGGGGAATACTTTGCGTGTTTATTGGTATGGGAATATTTCTCCCAAAGAAAACTTATGGACCCTCCTAATATGAACATACTTTATGAAATATTCACATAATTCCATATTTGAGCATGATTTTCCTACTGATTTTTTAAACATATAAGCTTCCTAAAATGCCATTCTGTGTAAGTTTATGATTTACATCTTTAGTAATCTAAGGTTATTTTAGTAAAGCTGTTAGTAAAGCTGAATATTACCAATTTCTTAAAATATATATATTAGTAGGAATTACAAAAAAAAACAAAAAAAAAACATGTAATTAAAGTATAAACCGTTAAAATCTCAAATCATCATAAAGTAATTTAAATAGGAAGTTAATTTATGTCTTATGCAAATGATGAAACATGATATAATCTTACATGTAAATGATTAAAATAGATTATGTTTGTGATCAATCAAATAATCACATGACTTTTGTCTTTAAGTTTGCCATCAATATCTCTTCCACGTAGATTTATAAAAAGTTTCTATATATAAGGAATCATACAAGCTTTTGTCTTTCTTGTAGTCACTTCATTTTCACTTTGCTAGCTTTTATTATTACAATTTTGTACAAAATCATATTTTATGCATCATTTCCTTTTCCTTAACATTATA